ATCTATAATGCTGCGACCCGAACGGAATCCACATTGCTCTTCCGCCACGTTTGGTTCCACAATCTGACTCACGAGGCGATTGAGCAGGATTCGGGCAATCACCTTGCCCACACAACTCAGCAAGTTGATGCCACGATAATTCGTGCAACATTGCTTGCTCCCTTTGCCCTTGTACAGTGGTAGCACAAAGGCATCCTTCAGCTCAGAAGGCACTTCCTCCTCAATCCACACGCGTTGCACCAAGTGGTGCAGCGCAGTCAACAACGTGGGTCCGCCGTGTTTCAGTACTTCAGGTGGGATCCCGTCACCTCCGGCACATTTGCCGTTTCGCAGCTGAGCAAGTGCTCTCTGCGTCTCATCTAGTGTCGGCGTATCCGCCAGATCCGCCTTCACATCGTGCTGCTTCAGGCCGTTCAATTTAGGCCAGTCGATCTCTGAACGGTTGTTCAAGAGACAGTCAAAGTGTTTCCGCCAGACCTGCATTATGTCTGCAGTCTGGGTGCAGGTAGCGACTGAACTACCATAGACCAGTGTCCTCAGCGGCTCCAATCTCGGTCCATACACCGCCTTCAAGGAGTCAAAGAATTCCTTGTGTTGGCGGCGTTCGGCGTGGCATTCCATCTGCTTCGCCTTCTCCGTCCACCATGCATTTTTAATGCGACGGAGCTCTCGGGTCAGTCGCCGTCGAAGTTTGCGAAACTGACTCCTCTTCCCCAAGTCACTGGGGTCTGCCACATGTGCAGCAAATGCTGCATTCTTCTCTGACACCAATGCCCCAATCGTCACATTGTTGTCATCAAACCAATCAGGCCGCTTACAGTTTGCGCGCCCAATGGTCTCCTCGGCAGCAGCTGTCACCTGGTCGCGAATGTGGTGCCACAGGTCGCCCGTTGTGGCTATACAGTCCACATCACCACACAGGCGTGCAGCCATCGCCTTCTCCAGCTCAGTACGTTTCGCCACAGTACCGAGGGAGAGAATGTTGAATTTACGCCGATTCACGGCGGGAGTGCAATACATCGATTTACGAAAATATATGTACAGTTTGGTCCGAACCAATTTGTGATCAGTGCCACAATCAGTTCCACGCAGTACACGTGCCATACGCACTTCACGCATATCACGCTGACGTACGATGACATAGTCGAGCAGGTGAGCGTGACTACTCCGTGGGTGCATTCAAGTTGCTATATCACTCGCACTCACTGCAAACCGAGTGTTCGTGATCGTCAGGCCGTGAGTGGCACACAGTGAGAGCAGCCTGTCACCGTTCGCATTCGCTGAACCAATGCCATGCGCCCCGATAACATCTGTCCATGCTGATGCATCACGCCCAACGCGCTCGTTGAAATTATCCATCAGAAATAGTCGGTCGCTCCTCGGCACAGACCGTAGCACGGAGGATAGCTCAGTGTAGAACTGATCACGCGTGTCATCAGGATAACACATGATCGGACCGTACGTGCTTATAAAAGTAGCAAACTTACCTCTTCCGAGTCGCAAGCGAACAGTCATCAGCCGCGCTCTGATGCCCTTTGGTTCACCCACCAGCTGGCCATTCAGGCGGTCGGATATTGCAAATCCGACCCCATGTTCACGTGGTGCTGAGGCGGCCTTCGCCACCCAGTAGAAGGTGTAGCCGGCACCTGCTTCATGTAACTTACCTTGCTCAGCGAGCCGAGTTTCACTGAGCGCCGCAATATCGATGTGGTAGCGCGCCAGCTCCATTGCGACCAGTGCAGTGCGTCGCTCCGGGCGCTCGCTCGAGTTCCGGTCCAGTAGTGTGCGCAAGTTCCAGCACCCGATGCTGAGTGCTTTGCGCGCTGGCATACGATTGCATTGGTGGGCAATCGCACGCGAGGTGGTCGTTGTCCTTCGGAAGTTTGCTTGAGGGACTCCACCCGGAGCAGTGGTTCAAGAGCCTGAACCACAAGGCAGTGGGTGGTTTGGAGGTTTGCTTGCGGGACTCCGCCCGGAGCCTTTGGCTCAATAGCCTGACCCACAAGGCAGTGGAGAGCAGATGCAGCTCGGGAATGTGATTGCAGAGACAGATTGGGATCTGCTTGACGGCCGTCACACGCAGCCTTTGAGGTTCTGGAACAGTTATCATATGTTTTGCGACCGTAATTGGATACGCACCTGCGATCACGGCCAGACGCAGGTGGGTTTTTGGCGGGTTTGCACCAATTTGACCAGGGGTTGCCTGGCTTGAGGCGGGCAGTAGCAAACCATTGAACACCCGGAGGTGTCCTCCCACCGTCAGAGACAATGCGTGGCACTCGTGCTCTACGCTGATCGAGCATTGAGAATATAACCCGTAACCTGTTGTCTCCCATGGCTAGGTTTTACGGGAAGTGGGCCATCGACCACTTCCTAAACTACGGAGAGGATGAACTAGGATACTGCCAGGGCGCCCAATCCTGACAGGAGAACGACTCCGGTCCTCAGCCAAAGCCTTCGATTAAATGATCACCTGAAAGGCAGGGTCTAGCACATGGTCAGTTAGCTGACTCATGCGGATTGGTGTCCTGGATCTTAGCAGGGAGAAGTACGAAACCTAACTCCCACCCAGCGGTCGCCACGTGGAGGCGCCCAGGACATGAGACTATGGCGCAACAGTAGCAGCAGTGGGTAGACCATCTGTCAGGGTCTAGCCACCACCAGCCTCAGCGCACCATAGGCTCTCCCGCCCAAAAAAACTTCTATACAAGCATGTTAACACCATCCGGATAGTTAAGCTCGGTATGCCCTCACTTAACACACCAGTCGGAGTGGCACAGGGTACCGAAGAGGCAGCCAACGCCCTATGAATGCAGTATGCCCCAACCTTCCAAAGGCACGTCCGCCAGTGTTACCTACCCACATCCCTAACCCCAACTTCAGCACTCACTAACATCGACTTTACTGCCACAGCTGTGCTCAAGAAACGGCTCCCGGAATCGAGTATATCCACCCGACGGCGCTGAACGTAGCAGCAACAACGCTGGCCGGACCATTATCGCATTTCTTCCAAAAGTGCTTGGGTAAACAAATTGTGCCTACCACGCGGAAACATAGCGTAATCACTCCAATTTTCAAAGCGCTAATCGTTTGGAACCCGCCAACTATTGCCTAGTGGTCCTCCTCCCTGTGCTCTCAAAGGTGGACGCAATCATCTAGAGCGGCAAAACATCATAGCACCCGAGAAACACGGTTTCCGCCAGCACCGTTCATGAACTACCAACCTACTGATTGCACGCAGTAGTTGGACGGAAGCGGCTTACACAGGCAGATGGACTGATGGACAGACAGACAGATGGACAGACGTCATTTACCTCGATCTTTCCAAAGCCTTCGACCGACTAGACCACCGCATTCTGTTTCACAGGCTCGAAAGCTATGGAGTTGGTGATCCAGTCATTGGGTGGATCAGGAGTTTCCTGCAAGATCGGCAACTGCAGGTCAGAGTTCGAAGTGCGCTGTCCGATCCGATTTATGTCGAATGTGGAGTACCACAAAGATCAGTTCTGGGGCCACGTCTGTTTCTCATATTCATTAACGAACTTACGCTTTACATTGCTCTAGATTTCTTTCTGTTCGCTGACGAGGTTAAGATGTGGCGGACGATCGCCGATTCAGCAGATCGCGATGCACTTCAGCGAGACCTGGACCGAACCTATGGTTGGTCACTCCACAATCTGCTCCAGTTCAATTAGAGGAACTGTAAATTGGTTCACGTTCGCCACCAGCCAACATTACATACCAGCTTGGAGATTATGTCCTGCAAGCAGTCACCCAGAAGCGCGACCTTGGGGTACTAGTTCAGACTAATCTGGTCTGCTCATAACAATCTGAGAAGACATCAAAGACCGGGAGCCAACACGTTGGCATGCTGCGGAGGGCATTTGGGTGGTTTGATCCCTTAGTCTGTTCGCAGTTACCTAGCATCTACGTGCGGCCTCATATGGAATACGCGACCCAGGTGTGGCAGCCCTGGCACAAACAAGACCTTGCAGCGCTCGAGACTCCACAGCGACGAGCCACGAAGCAGCTCAAAGGGTTGTTCAACCTGCTTTATCAACTTAGACTGAGGACCCTAAAATTATGCTGTAGCCGGTACCCGCGCCTACCTGGTGACCTTATTATAGCCTACCGGATTCTACAGAACCCCAACCACGTCTGCCGTCATCTACCACAACTAAGCCACAACACGAATTTGAGGCGTTACCGGTTCAGCTTAGCCACGCAATACAATGGGCTAGAATGCCCACGGAAATTTTACTCTCTTCGTGTGTGTCAGATTTGGAGCGCCGTCCCAAATTACATCGTTCCGGCCCCCACTTTGCCTGTGTTTAGAAATCGCCTTGATATTGTTCTAACCCACCTACACTACGAGATATAGCCTGTGTGTGTCGACAGACGATATAATGTGACGAACGTTGCACAACCAGAATTAACCTACACAGGTGAGATTGTTACTTTCTGCGTGCCTCTGGGTTAACACTGTGGTGAGTCTACAAAAACCATTTTCATTGTCTCCCTTTGTTTACTAATCACCATATTGTGATTTTCTTTTGGCCATCCTGCGGGACTTGTTAGACATCCGCATTTTTGCCCGTAATAGACCATTGTTCCAATGATCATGAGTTGTGTCGTTTACGTATGAACCTGTCCATGGCGACCACCTGTAAAAAGGCATTGATATTCATCAGAATCAACATTATTACTGTCCAAGGCTTGCCGTTTTCTTAGCCTCTTCCAACCAACACTTTACCCTTACTTAAGTTGTGCTGTTAATCTAAGCAGGTCACCTAACTTCCGTCTAACTTGGTGCAAAATTCTCTGTCTGTGTAAGGAATAAGTGATGAGCATTCGGAACAGTAGCCATGATTGTCTACGTGGTGACGAGGGTATTTTTCGGCAGGGGCACAGTAACTACTGTACTAAAGAATATTCGGGTTACCATGGTACGCTTAAAAATAATTTCTCATACTTGTGCCCCGTTTTTCTTGCTCTCTCAGGTCATATGCTACTCAGCGACCATGCTCAACATGACAGGCATTGAGAAACACTACATTCAATACTGTGTGCTAGCCATTGGGATGGTGAACTTGGTGGTCACGATAATATCGTTGATGCTACTGGAACGAGCTGGACGTCGGACACTCCTGCTCTGGCCAACAATTGCTGTCGCCGTAGCCCTTCTTCTGATGACAGTCACAGTGAACGTGGGTGCAGATACTGACTCCAAATCGGTGGAGCAAGCGATGGGGATCTGTTCCACATGTCTGATTCTGGTGTTTATATGTGGATATGCACTGGGGTTAGGCCCAGTACCTGCGCTGATCGTGTCTGAAATATTCCGTCAAGGTCCGCGAGCAGGAGCCTACTCCATTAGTCAATGCTTGCTGTGGCTCTCAAACTTGATCGTTTTGGGTGGTTATCCGAACATTGCTGTGAGTATAAACCATGTTTGTGATATTGGCTCTACAAATATTCGATTTTTAGCCAATCAGTGTTTGACCACAGCTTCGCCAGCACCTCGTAAGGTGGCCGCTTACTGACCCTATATGTTTTCAAAACTGACGATGTGCTTTGCATGGTAGATGGTGTTTTATATATCACTACTTTGGAGTATGCGGAACTTTCATTTGCCCTACAACCAGATGACCCTGTCGTAAGTTGTGCTGGTGCTGGTAATGAAAGTTACTAACAAGTCGCCCACTTGAACTGTTGTAGACCTGAACAGCATACATGTTGCTACAACGAGTGGTTTCCAAGCGGTTTGCGTTGGGGAAAGCCAGGATGGAATGGGATGAGTCAATTACCACTACTAACTACGAGATAACTAACAATATTTGCACTGCATTCGTACTTGTTTTATTCATCGTACAGCCGTATCTACCTCCATCAGTTTCTTGAATGCGGAGAAAAATTGCCTATTGACCACTGTTCACATTCTATGTTCAGTGCTGCGGTTTCTGCACCTGCACCGCAGTTGAATACAGATGTTCAAATCGCATTAATAAGCTCAGGCCTGGCAACACATGTGGCCCACAGTATCGCTTGCCACTGTTGGGTATGAAAACACCAAGTTGTCTAGAGGTGTGGAGCACAGAGCAAGATTCCAAACGTAATCAAGCGTGACCTCCTACCTTGATGGCCATCATGCCTTAGTTAATGGGCTAATCTTCAAGATTACATAACATCATACGAACTCACAGTCAAAGAAGTGACAATACAAATAATAAAATTATAATGCGTATGGTCGCTAGGTAAATAGATGGATCAATCGGAAGCTGACTAGATCTTTGCAGCGACTATTAAGAAGAAGTCTGAGGACCTTAGAATGTTCGAATAGTGCTTTTTAGATGGTCATTAAAGTTTGGTTTAATTAGTATGCACCAAGGACGGAAGACGTGTTCGCTTGGTATTTAACTCCAGTGCTCACAACACTATGAAAATTGAGTTGATTGGCAATGCCAGGACCGATAGCATCAGTGACGGATACACTGAGCCGACAAATTCCAGTAGGTCGGTGATATCTAGGACCACAGAGCATTCTTTCGCTTACGTAGAGCAAGGGTCCAAAATTGAGGCAGTTACGTTTTGCGAACGACGAACACTTGATTTAGTTGAGCTGCGTTGACAGATAGGATTTGCTAGAAGCTTCTGAACACTTGACCAGTCGGATGCTGCAACACCGTTGTTGCGTGGATACATGGACCAGCCTGGGATGTTCCCGTTACACATCCAAGTATCAATGCAGTTCACTGGAAAACAGTGTAACTGAAAATGGAACAGAAGTAATCGACATAGCAACCATTCCCTTAGCGCCTTAGAGATTAGAGATACTGCAGGGCCGCTGACACAGCAGCCTTGCTCTATAGTACTCCATGAGCAGAGGAGTTCCTTCGGGCTTGTGATTACCAAGATTTAAATGTCAAAAACTTGAACAAAGTCCGAGCCGGGAAATTTTACTGCAGACGTTTTACCACCTGTGGAGGCGGTATCTTCAGTGTGTAGTATTAATTAGCTTGTTAGAAAATCTTGATATTCGAGCAGTTCCAGAGTCGCTGTTAAACCATTCATAAGTGTTGGCTGTTGCAAAACACGCTAAAATACATGATACCGATGATAATTACTGGCGCTTTCAAGTGCACTACGAAACATGAGAGATGTCTTAATCGATACCGAGCTTCCTTCGTACGCATCAACAACTGACGGGAGAGCTAAGCGAGGTGACAGATCGCAGAACAACAAAGTCTAAAGCGAAGAAGTGGACCTCTCTTCAAAACAAGTTGACAAAAGTAACTAGAGATGACTGCGCAATTGTCAACGATGGCTGAACCAGAAATCCATCAAACTGGCCACTCAGTAATGCTGAACGTAAGTCAGCATCAGGGGACTAAACTACAGGTTCAAAGACGCCGGACCCAGGGAAGTTTAGGCTGGATTCACAATTGCCTTGCAATTCAGCAGTTTCAATGTAGACAAAGACGCATACAAAGTATACCGTCGGTGCAGCCGTAACACGAAACATATAATAAAATCATTCGTCCCAACAAGAAAAGAACACAAGTGAGTCCTTAATTGCAAACGGTGCTGTAGTGATCATGCCACAAACAAGGGGAGTTTAGCCGGCATAAGGAACAAAACAGATTACACTGAAAAAGCAAGTAATCTTCTTGGCCGGTGGCCGGATGATCTGTACGCCAGGTTTGCAACCGTAAGGTCACCAGTTCGAATATGCGTGGGGGCGGGCGTCCTCGCGGTATACTCAAACCACGCGCGACTGGTGGTAGTCACACCGGAGCGAAGCTCCGTTACAGCGTACAGCTGACAATTTAGTTTTTTATACGAGGAAAGATCAAACCATACAATTGTCGGGTAAGACAAATAGGACACGCAATAAGCTTCAGAGTCTAAACCAACTCAAGACGATTGACCACGACAGAATAAAATCTCGTGACTCAAACCTCGCACAGCTTTGTGACCTTCTGAATGCACACAAGGAGAGTGTAGCGCTGTGTCCAGTAGTGTCAATCCTTGGTACATTCATCTATAACTTATCCAAAGTGGTATTGAGACATCTCAAAATTCTCCTGTACGGATCATGAAATTCTGTAAATGATGCGCGGTAGTTTCTCGACAAACTCAGTTGCCTACGAATAGATCTTAAAGTAACGGCGATGTTCTTCAACGTTTACTTACAATTGAAGAAGGGGAGTATCATAATGCTCACGAACGGTGGCAGAGGAATCATGGGGAAGCTGACGGTGAAAAGTCTACGCGAGCTTCACCACTTTTGCCTCACCGCCTACCTCAACTTAATTGAAGGGCTTTATTGGCTAGCTGAAGTGGCCGCTGAGATTGTCATTCGGAAACTGTAAGCTAACTTGCTCGCAATCATGAACCCGAACTTGTGAGCATGATCTGCTGAAAACCGATTCGTGATACTTAAAAGCATCCAGCTGTACTCCACGCAAAAGCTGCTGAACAATGCAGTGGACGACATTCTTTGGACCACGGAATCGGAAAGAGAAAATCAGTTGCCCTTCTTAGACTAAATATTTACCAAAATAGTGTACTAGAACTACAAACGTCATTTTACAGCAAAGACGCACAAAGATCAAGTACTAAATTTCAACATCGATCATTTCACAAATTAACCTGTTGCGGAGTGTAGCTGTGAAACTAGAATCGTACTGCAATACTACAGATTTAGAAAGGATTGAAGTGAAGCGTCGTTCGTGCACCACGAACACTCCCGCAGTTTCTTCTCAACATACGTAAACTTCAGAGTTCAAAATGCCTCGCCCACACAAACGACGATTAGACATATCGTCTTAACGTTTGTGAAAAACGTCTCAGAGCTGAGTCCAGAAATCCTTAACCTATATCGCCTGATGAGGAATCACTGCTCAACGACTGCTCTGAAGCAATGGTTATCCAAAACAAAAGAGAAATAGGAAGCACACGAGCGACGACTTGTTGCACGCAGGATGAGAAGGTAGGCCTGTGGAAAATACTGTGTTAAACAAAGAGAAAGAACATCATCATCAGACACACAAGAGCTCAAATGAGCCTGCAAAGACCACTTCGCGTCATCTCTAACCGCAGCGCACATCGGTCAGTAATGAAGATAAAACAGAGATTCTGATTCGTAGATAACTAAGAAACGGACAGGATCCTTCGAAGCCTGTTTCTCCAAGCAGTATCGCCTCGATCAGCTCGTCGACCTTGATCAGCTACATTAGAAACGGAGAAAGAAAAAAGACGAATTAGAAACCATGATTGGAACCATTGGTATCTAGTAACGGAACAGTCTGTTCAACTACGTCCTGTGGAGAACTAAACTATGCTAAATCTCAAAGCTCCAGTCTCTCTACTCTGTTAATGCGCGACAAAGGGTTCCTCCTTCGGGTGTGAGATAGAGCGCACTAGATTGCCAACTGTCCAAAAGTAAATGTTGGTCTAAGTGTCACCCCCGGTCACATGGGTGTGAACGACCCATATGTATACATGTGGGTACAGGTGTCCTTGCCAATCTCGTCCATCGCAAAAACGATGGATGGCGCAGATGGTTGAGTGGGAGTCATCCTACGGCACGCCACAAGGCCAGGTCACCGATCGATACATACGGTGTGTATGCTTGGTTGGAACGGTGGACAAAATCGGAACAGCGGTGTCACATTACCCGGTTACTGCGGTAGAATTGTGGTGGCGCTTCGACATGCGTAACCGGCGTAAGCAAGAAGTGTGCAATAAGTGCTTAGTATTATCCCAACTAATGACAAAAGGGACAATTTAAATTCTTATATGCTCGTACCTCGGATCGAAAATCTACACTGGCTTTTCTATCACGCCTACTAATCGACACAACAGGAGTGAAACTCCGCTTTCACAAACGCATGCTAGGATGTAGATGTCAACTTTCGTTTATCGTTATTAATTATTATTTATTATTGATGTTTTGTTGTCTAATAATTCGCAGTGTTGGTGCAAAAATGCTAAAAATGCAACCATACGGGTGAATAAAGCATACTTTGGCTGACCTGGTAATGTCGAAATATTTGGTTCCTCAGTAGTACAGTAGCGTGAAAATGACAGATATTGTGTATAAAGATAAGCCACAGCTCAGGGCAGTGAGTTTCAAAAAAATATAACGATACTGTAAGACACTTCTGTCGAGACAAAAATTGGATTTTAACGCTGAAAAGACTTTCTGGATTACCTCCACTGGTGGCATAAGTGAAGGCCATCTGGTTTTCACGTATCGTAGAATGCGTTGGTATTCTACCATTGCAGTTACAGTATTCTTTTAGTTCTTCAACACGAACAGTGTAAATGTAAAGTAAGAATACATTTTCGCCACAACTGTTTCAAAATCAATAGGAAAACATTCAGTTGCCGTTTGAAATGTGTTTTCGACAATGTGAGCCACTAAACTAGC